TTTTTTTTTTTTTTTTTTCTAAAGAGTTCAAGAGATTTCGCTAGCATTATCAACGAGATACCGTTAATAACATCTTCTTTCCTTTTTTGAAAAATAAGGGTCGAACGACGACACGTTCGACGAATAAATCAAATGGTCAAACGACATGGGACGACGACGACCGGAAACGATACGCCGGAAACAAGCGGTATGGGAGAACCGATAAGGCCGTCTGTCGGTCAAAGAACGGTATCACGCTGTGTTGTATCAATCATTTCGATTGTTCTCTTCACTTTTACGATGAGAACTAATTTCTTCTTCCGCCATTATAATGAATGAACGAAGAAACGAACGAACTATCGACGAATTTCACAATTTCTTTTTCAATTCTAACGACGATATCTTTCTATTTCTCTAGTTTTTCTCACGTTTTTCATAAAGACGTTTGCAATTCTATTGTAAATCAACAGACAGCAGTCCGATAAAAACGTTTACATTATTTAGGTTCTCCTTTCCTTCTCTACGATACAACAAGACGCTTTCGTTTCTCCATCCCATTCGAAATAACCGCCTTCTCTTTTGATTTCGTCACGTGACGCGTTGTTTCGTGTGACGTTTCCTTATCACGCCATCTTGGATTTTCCCATTGTGCCTTCTCGCGGACACCATTACTCTCTGATAATATATACAGATATTTCGCGCGCGAACGTTCTCGACACACTTTCCTTGAAATCATCATCGGAATTACTATGTCTCGAGTTGTAAACGTAAACTACTTTTTAGCTAGCTTTTGTTAGGTTTACGATAAAAGAGAGAGAGAGAGAGAGAGAGAGAGAGAGAGAGACGTAAATAGAATGGCAGAAACTTTCTATGAACAATTTTCCTCCAGGTAACGATCCTATTGAAAAATTGGAGCTTTGTAAAATCTCGTTAATTGAATTATACCTTTGCGTGTGGAATGATTATTGATCAATATGGAAAGTATAAAAGTTGCAATATTTCGATAGGTTGTTATACTGTTACGAAAAGGAAAAACAATAAAAATAACGTTCGATAAATTTCGTATGATAATTAATTCATATAAAGTGAGCATACTGTACGATATATTAAATATTTGTATGAATTACTAAGTTTAATTCTTAGGGAAGTTATTTTTTGGACAGGTTTAATTTAGATGAACAATACATTTATCCGTTGAACGTTTCGTCTCTATTTGAGACTTCCTCAGCAACTAAAATTTTTTATTATGACATATTATTTCTTATACAAATACATAAAAAAAAGAAAGAAAAAAAAAAACCAGTAGTGTTCGAAAAGTTATGGTAGGATAACGTTTTTAAAAAATTTACTCTATATATAAAATAGTGAAAACTTATGACTGTAATAAAAATGATGTTATATTGACTTATGAACATAACTATCAAGGTAAAATAACGCTATTAATTGTAAGTTTTTTTTTTTTTTTTTTTGGTATTTGTATAAGAAATAATATGTCATAATAAAAAATTTTAGTTGCTGAGGAAGTCTCAAATAGAGACGAAACGTTCAACGGATAAAGAGATTGTTCATCTAAATTAAACCTGTCCAAAAAATAACTTCCCTAAGAATTAAACTTAGTAATAATATTAAAAAATTTTGGATAAGAAAAAAATCTTTATTGTATTAACATTTGTATGAATGTATTATATTTTTTTTTGTTTGCAGTGGAGACGTATTTGAGTCCGGTGGAAACGCATTGCATGAACATTGATTACTTCATCCCCGATGAAGAAAACCAAACGAGGGACTTCTCCGACGACGCAATGGCTCGATTACGTACGTATGGTGCAATTAATGTCTCGGTTAGACGTTAACTGCAATAATTTGATTGTACAGTAGTCTTATAATACGTGTTCAATGATTCGATCTATGACTGAATGTCTATAATTATGTTTTACGTATACCAACATCTATTTCTTTTTATACTTAAATTACTAATCCCATTCTCTCCATTTGTTTCTTTTACAATTTGTTCATTTTTATTTTTTCGATATAGACATGGGAAGATCGGTGATTGCACTCTTCATGGTAGGTTTCCTAGCAATATTTTCTGCCTTTTGGACGGGAGTCGTTGGTTGTTGGCGAAGATCACCAGGAAACATCACGGCTACCGCCATTTTGATGCTATTCGCTTGTTAGTATCCTTACTTTTGCATTGTAATTATGTCATTTTCTTTTACTTTTTCTCACGTAAATTTGTAGGAAGAGAATTAAAGAATAAGAGAAAGAGAAAGAGAAAAAGAGAGGGAGAGAGAGAAAGAAAGAAAATTAAAAGTTGTGACGTTCGTTTAGGTTTACTAAGCGCTGGTGGCATGGGACTTTGGCATGGCGTAGAATATTATGAGAAGGAAAAGATCGTTGGCGAAGAATACTACCAACAATGGAGCAATGTAAGTAATTACCTCGTTACGTATTTTTCTTCCTTATTATTTATTTTTTTAACTATTTTTATTATACCGATGAGAATATTCGTTGGTTGGTTCTATTTAAACAAATTCTTCGAAGGATAACCTTTGAAGATTCAGATTTTTCAGTGATAATCTAAACCTCTTTGTTAACACAACGTATATATTTTCTTATCGTAATGTTTTAAAATATAATTTTATAGATTAAAATCAGTGTTCGAAAGGAAGCTTCTACCCCCAGAGAGAGAAACAATTATTAATAATTTATAATATTAATATACCATTCTCCCATACAGTGTGTGTATATTGTTGATCCATGAAAAAAGAAGAAGAAGAAGAGACACCGGAGGGTGGCCAGAATATTTTCAACGCGATTAAAAATAAATGATTAGAAATTGAAAAATATATTTGGTCGTAGGTTCTAAAGGATAACACAGCACAGTGGTACGACTGGTCGTTTTACATGGCCTGGCTAGGAGTGGCTATGTGTTTAGGCACGATGACACTATTTCTGATCGCGGCATCCTGTTTAAGAAAGGAACGTGCTCGCGAGCAGACCCAGAATGTTCAATACATCATGCCAGGTGAAACGATGTCCTGTGAACGGACCTGACTAACTTTTGCCGTCTTGTTTTTTTTTTTTGGAACGCGGTTCTAGGTCCTGAAGGACTACTCACTAATCTCGTACGACTGGTCGTACGTGGTCGCTTGGGTCGGCGTCGGTTGGTCGTTAATCAGCGCGATCTTGTTTAGCGCTGCTGCAATTTGCTTGAGGGGCGAGAGAATGCGCGAGGAGGCAATGAACATGCAGTATCTCATGCCTGGTACATATTTAACACAAAAACCCCTTTTGCTTTTGCAAAGAACATACTGTAACCAACGGATGTTTGTTTGTTTTATTTTTCTTTTAATTCAATCAAATTCTAACGTACAAATCAATATGACAAATGTAATGTTTTCGTTAACGTTAATATAATAAAGATTTTTTTCTTATCCAAAATTTTTTACTTCTTAGGGATGTTATTTTTTGGACAGGTTTAAATCAGATGAACAATATATTTATCCGTTGAACGTTTCGTCTCTATTTGAGACTTCCTCAGCAACTTGATAGTTATGTTCATAAGTCAATATAACATCATTTTTATTACAGTCATACGTTTTCACTATCTTATATATAGAGTCAATTTTTAAAACCGTTATCCTACCATAACTTTTCGAACACTAGTTCAACAAACTCGAAACAGTAGTCAACTATCAAGTTGCTAAGGAAGTCTCAAATAGAGACGAAACGTTCAACGGATAAATATATTGTTTTCGTTAACGTTTAACAATAAGATTCTATTTAATTACTAAATTTCAAGATCTACGGATGTTATATTTATATTATATTTTAGCATATATCCTATAACGATTAATATCAATAATATTATACTTATTGTACGTAGCAATTAACAGTAATATGTATTTTTAAATGTTAACGAATTTCATTTGCATTATTATTCAATTATTAGCATTAGGTTTTTGAGACGTCATTGTTTGAAGCGTTGCTTAACATGAATAAATATAAACATGCATCATTGTGCACAGTATGTTCCACTAACTGTATAATCATTTATCCATCGAACAAAGATTAAGTTCGTGTCTCACGTGCCGATATGACTGACCCATTAAAAACTAACGCGAATCGTTATGATTGAACAAAATTAGGACATAATTCATTTACAATCAAATAATATAATAATAATAATCATCATAGTAATATTAATAATAATAGTAATAATAAAATAATATAGATAATCATATTAGCGGTAACACATCGTTCATAAAATCATCGATAAATTATGATAACGCATCGAATTAACGTTAATGGGGGATGGGTTATAATATTTATAAAAAAGAAAAGGAAAAAAGAAAAAGAAAGAAATAAAACAGAAGAAAAATATGTGTCGGCAGTGTAGTATAATCATATAAAAAAATTTCAACGCCATTCATTCATTTCGTTTAACTCCTTTAACAAAATATAACGAATTGTATATAAATTCTTCGATCATTTTTTTTTTCTCTGATAGATAATCGTTAATAATAAAATAAAATTATAATAGTTTCTCATGGATTATAAATTGAATGTTCGATCGCGTTACACTCGGTGAAAATCTGATCCGATCGTAAATCCCCTTTGAGAATTGCATGGAATCTAAAAGGAGTGTATAAAAGTAATTATGTCGGTCATGTATCAATATCATTCGGGGAAAACACGACGTTCGATATTCGTGTCCGCGAAACTTTTACTTTTTCATTTTACGCTCTGTTTCCATGATCGATCAGAGTGATTTTGTTACGGTCTGATCTTCGAATGAGAGAAATGGTAGATAGACCTTTCTAAAACGAAACGTTTACGATCGATCGGATTAATAGATTTTTATACGACGACAATTTGACGAATTAATTTATTTTCTATTAAAAAAAAAATATTTTACTCTCTCTCTCTCTCTCTCTCTCTCTCTCTCTTGCGACTTGTAAATTCAAATGACGTTCGAAAGCGGCACACTTGCCTAATTTGATGACCCACGACGAACGTACTGGACTTTGTCACCTTTTACCGTCAAATATTTACGAATGTTGAGAGACACTTACACACACACACACACACACGTTTTAGCTTTGTTACGTTGAACAGAAAACAAAATAAAATATATAAATTAAAAAAGTATATTTTTAATTTGGTCGCGACGATAACGCGATTTAAATTTATCGGGCAAATACAAAACGTGTGAATCGTAAAATATATAAATAAATTAATAATAAACGTAATAAATAAAAAAAGCAAAGTGATCGAACACGATATATTATAATACATTCTTTTTCCTAATATTTAACAAAAAAAAGAAGGTTTAACAAATGTATTTTTGTTTGTAATTTCAGTGTATCCTCAAAAACAACAGTACGCGTATGCAGGTTATCCAGCACCAGCGGCGTATCCAGGGCCATATTATCATGGGTCGCAATACGGGCCTTACAATTATTGAAAATATCAAAACTCGATGAGAAGATCGTTATTGTAGTGGGATACATTATTTTGGATTATGTTGATTTTAACGTGTGCCAACAACCAGAGGCATACATTCGTCATATTTAATCGATCAATGAAATGAAATGAAATCAAATCAAATCAAATCAATGAATTACTTTCTCTCTTGCTCGTCAAAATGGTGGATATAATAAGAAATAAAGAAGAATCTAAGGAGGACTAAAAAAAAAGGTTTAAAAGAAAGAAAGGAAGGACAATTAAAGAAACAAAAAATCTATATATACGAAAGTAAAGCAAAGAAAAGAAAGGAGAGGAAAACAAAACGAAGTATAATTAATTAACATAAGTATTGCCGTCCTATGCCTCATTTTCGACGAGTAAACTCGAATAATCGAGTTCGTACGAACGTTTTCTAAGGTCGTTCGCGTAGCTAAACTTCCGGTATCGCGATGTATAATCCTCTTGGAAGATGATGATGCCCCTTTCGAGCTACGATACGCTCCGTTTCCTTTTTCTAACGCAAAAAAAACAAAAAGTAGTACGAAGGAAGAGTTTACACGGCAGATTGATATCTTCCGAAGTTGCTCTAACATAGATTTAACATTTTCTATAATTATTTGTTAGTTAGGATTTTTTTTTTTTATCATTTTTTTCTTTTTCCTCATCTCTCTCGCTCTCTCTCTATCTTTTACTCTCTCTCTCTCTCTCTCTATCTGTTTATGTTTTTTTTTTTTTTTTAAATAATGTCGTATCGATACGATCTTCGTGCCCTACTTTTTATTTCTTTTTTTTTTTTTTTTTATTTTTTTTATTTTTGTATAAATTATTATTTAAAAGAAAAAAAAGCGTGCGCGCCCGTTAATTCCATTATGGGAAGTTAGGTTTCACTTTCGTCGTTTTTTCACCTCCAAAGACCTATTTACTACTTACGTATGTTACTCATATGCGTTTGTATTTACATGATATGTATATACGTTTGTAAAGAAAAAAAAAATAAGGAAAAAACGTTTATTATTGGTTTGAAACAGAATTATTTAAAAAAAAGTCACGATATTCTTTCGATTATATTCTCAACGATAATTTTCTATTAACTGACTGAAAATCTAATTCTCTACCGAATAACAAAAAAATAAATATTGCATTTTTATTCCGGCAAGGTAAGATCATTTTCGATCGTCACACACATTCACATCCACACACACACACACACACACACATTTATTATTATTCGCGAGACTCTCTATCGTCGTCTAGTTATTTTGATATACATAGATACGTAAAATACATAGGATACGTAAGATTCATTCGAGATTGGGCAAATCACGCACGTATATAAGTATGTAAGTAAAATAACATCCATTGTTAACAAATAATTGTATCTAAATCACATGGAAAAGAAATGACTATTCTGATTATTTTTCTGTCTTTTTGATTGTCAATTAAATAGATTTTTATTTAGATTCGATTTTTAATATTGAATTTAAATGAAATCTTAAACAAAAGACTCTGGTGCTCTGAAAATAAAAGAAGAAGAGTGATATTTTTTTTTCACGTGATACGTTTGTTTTATTATCTTTTTTTTTTTTTGTTACAAATTCCGTACTTTACCTATTCTCTTGCTCACCATGATGGTACCTTAAATGTAAGGCGTTATTGAATTAAACAATAACAAAAAACAAAGTGGAATTAAATTACTTACCATACAATTTATAACGCGAATAAACGAACGAAAGACAAATTATTTCTTTTTAACGATTATTATATAAATGTCATCTATACAACGAGTTCATCGTAAAGGAGTTTAAGTATAAATGATCTGATATTTATAATAATTCGTGTGACATTACATAGTATGTACAATAATTTATCTTTTTTTTTTTCTTATATATATATATATAAATCTCAAAATAGTAACGAAAAAATAATTACAAGATGTACTATCTGTTTTTACTTCTTTTCCCATTTTTCTTTGTTATCACAAGTATATACATACGTATATTTGTTTTTTGAATATGTGTGTATATGTATATAAATATAATGTGTTCCAGGAAGTTTCTATTAAACTTTATATGTGTGTATATTTGTTCTCCGATTAAAATAATTAAAATAATTAAAACATATTCATATGGATATGGGTCCAAAAAAGTATTCTTTTCGAGCATGAATAAGCCAACCCTTTCATTGGTTTCAAAGGTACAACAATGCGGTATTACCCTTACGAAAATGCAATTTATAAATTTAAATTTGTAATTTTATATTAATTTAATCAAATTAATTATACTAATTTACATTAATAAAACAAGTATAATACATATATATGTATTTAGTACTAGGATTCTTCGAAAGATGATCATCATCGTAAGTGCAAAATCGAATTTATTATAACAATCAAAGAAAATATTGAAAAATAAAAATTTTTATAAAAATATATATTGTTGTAGATTTAAACTTTTAATTGCAAATTCCCAAATATACATATAAAGAGTGTAATGAAAGAAAGTGACAAAAACTTTAGTAATGGATTCCCCACACGTAGAAAAAAAAAAATAATAATTTATACCAGCGTGAGAGTTTGAAAATCTTTCATTTTAAAACTACCTATAACATTAAAATAAAAACTTACAATTATTCATTGTTACCAATTGAACTTGTAAAAATATAAAAATGATTTAAAAACGTGCCCTGCAGGTGCATCGTAATCGATCATCTGTTGAAAAAAAAGTAAAATGAAAATAAAAGTTCAACAATCTTAGATTATGTCCTGACATCTGTAAATATATAAAAATTAATAAAAAAACATTATAAAGAAATTAGTTTCTATAGATGAAATGGATAGAAGGAATTAAGAAAAGGAGCAAAGGAATCTGATGTCAATTAGGAAGTTAAAAGAAACTAATTACAATTATAATGTTTATGGTAAGCGGTCTTTGGCTGGGTTTTACTTGCAATGAAATGTATAGCATATTAAATATGTTAAACATTACATGGAAAGTAAAACACCATTGCCCGGGTCTAACCACGAGGAGGTAACCGCTTCCGAAGACCCATGAGGGATGTGCATCCTGAAGATTTCCACATCCGAAATAAATTTAAAGCAAATAAAATAATCAAACCGAGAACGATTTTAAGGAACATCACTCTTAGTCCTAACAGAAAACTAATTAAAAAACAACGTATAATATAAAAAAATATTAAAATTATTTTCTATTGCAAGTATGTTAATAAATATGTAATGCTTATACTAGTACATATATGTTTAAACAATCTGAATTATAAAGAGAGTGTATTAGATTATTCAAATAATTGTTAATTAATCGATAGAAGTGTCTATTGCTGTTTAAAAGCTAGGAGTATACGATCTATGTACCGTCCTCTTCGAAATTCCCCTTCAGACTGAGCCTATGTCCTCTATGTAAATTCTTTTATTCAATATTGTTTATATGACTTTCCGAACGATGTGCATGTGTATAAAGGGAATAATCCACCTAATTAATACAATTTAAGATTACAACGCTCATATTATAGCATTTTTTTTACAATTGTTTAAACTAATGTACATTTCTTGCAACACTCCTGTGCAGTGGTGACTTCGTGAGAGGGGGGGGGGGAATTTCATCGAAAAGAATATCACATCGAAATTATTTAATATTAGAAGAACGTTAAAAGACTAATGTTCAAATCAGTACATATGTTTTAAAATAAGCAGTAATATAAAGAGAGTGCATTAAAGTATTAAAATATTTGATAAATAATCGATATAAGTGTCTATTATCACATAAAAGCTCGGAGTATATATATGCACATATAATATTCAAAATAAATAAATAATATGATTATATTAGAGCATTCTTTTAATTTTTGTGCAATTGTTTAAACAAACGTCCACTGAAAACATTTTATTATAGAAGACTATTAAATTTAATAAACAATAGTAAATAGCATTGAAAAATATAAATAAATGTATCTATCAATATATTTATTATTTCTATATAAACTGTGAAAGGCATTTAAATGCTACTCTGGAATCAAAATTTTGACGTTTTTCTAAAATCCAATGGGAATCCAGATTTTCAGGTGATTTAAATTATTTTCGCGACGTCACAAAACTGAAAGATTTGTAACAGGAGCGCATGATGATAGAAGAGGTATCAGGAGGTTATTTGACTTACCGACCGAAAAGTACTGATGGTAAGGTAGAAAACTTACCGACAGTCAGTAGCTCGCGTTGTAGGTTACCATCCGACCTTCACAGTCGGTAAGTTTTCTATCTTACTAACCATCGGAACTTTTCGGTCGGTAAGTCGGATTACCTCCTGATACCTCTTATATTATCGTGCGCTCCTGTTACAAATCTTTTAGTTTTGTGACGTCGCGAGAATAATTTAAATCACCTGAAAATCTGGATTCCCATTGGATTTTAGAAAAACGTCAAAATTTTTATTCAAAGGTGGCATTTAAATGCTTTTCACAGTATATATAGATATAATAAATATATTGATAGATACATTTATTTATATTTTTCCAAACTTTTCAATATTATTTATAGTCTTCTAAAATATTATAATAGTTTTATCAATCTATACAGAAAACTGTGAGAATATAAATAATAATATTTTTTTACTAATAATTAAACAATTAATATTTCGCTAATGTGATCTATATAAGATATTTTACTGTGACGAAAATTTAAATAATGATCTCTTCTACAACTTTTTTTTTTTAATTGTCTCTTATTACACTATTTCTGGGAGTCTATAGAGAATTTGCCAAACAATTAAATGTTTCAAATTCATTAATAATAGGTAAATTAATTATATTTTACTTTAGGTACATAAAAATAAAATATGCTAATGCAAATATTTTTAGAAAATATATATTTATTAGTAATATTTAATGTATAATCGTAGAAGGACATCGTCTTAAAAATTACAATGAGTTTGTTACATTATTGAGCTATTAAAACACTTCTCTGTGCTTTAAATTATAGATAT